ATTTGGAAATAGTTGATTTAATTGTGGTAATAGATAATCCTGAAGAAATTGAAGATATCGAGGACCGGTCAAGTTTCCTTCAAAAAAATATGGCCCTATTATTTGATTATTTATAATGCCGGCCCAAACATTCACCTTTTCAGGATATTGTGTCGTATACTCCTGTATCCAATGGGGATTTTCACTTGCCCAGTATCGATATGTCTGGCGGTTTACATGGCCGTTGAGCATAAAAGTTGCTTCATCCGAAAAAAGTATATTTTTTATGAAATTACGATCTTTGTTAGATCGTTCCATAATTGTTTCACAGAATTCAATTCTCCTATCAAAGTCATCTTCTAACAGCTCTTGGACCAAATGTACCTTATACGCATGCCACTTCTCCTTTTTCAGTACTCTAGCAACAGTAGAATGGTGTAAATTATTATCCAGCGCAACTTGTCTCGTGCTGGTGTGGGATCTTTCTTGAAACTCTAGTAAAACGTTAACTTTTTTGTCTTCGGAAATTGACTTTCTACCACTTTTGGGGAGATCTTTAACATGGCCCGTTTCTCGAAACTTTTTCTCGATTTTACTAATTGTTGATTGAGAAATGGGTTCACGATTGGGGTATTTAGCATTAAATAAATTGCCAACTTCTCTCTGTGTCCTTACTCTATCTCCATAGCCAATCATCATTAATATTTCGATTCGTTCAGTTTCTGTAAGCTTCATTACTAAATTATGCTAATTTAAAGATTTTTAACTATTGAACACTTGACTGATACACATCAATTAGTGTTAAATTAGAATTTAGTACTATTATCAGTAACATATCCAAAATACAGAAATATTTTTTGGGTACACTACGATGTTTTATTTCCAGTGGCGGTCCTTACAATAACTTAGTTCAGTGAATCAGAATTTATGATTAAGATTTTAGTAAATAAACAGTTTTGGTCGACCCTGTAGAAATAAATATTCAAATAATTACATCGTTGTAAAGACGATTAGAAGACCTTTCCAATGAGGTGTTTTGAGACACATGGTTGCATTTAAAAAAATTGCCGATTACGTCACCACGGTAATATTGGTGACGTAATGTTCGTTACATCTACATCATGTGATGACGATTCAAAAATTAAAATTGACCTGTTTTTGGATTTTTTTCAAAAGTCGATTATTTTAGAAATAATGAATTTATTCCATACATTAGCGACATACTGTATATATTACGTTTTGCAGAATAAATTGAAACTGTTGATAGTTGTTCTGGGATAATAAGTAGATTGACATGATGTGATAAATAGTCGTGAATTACAATTTCAAATAGTTTAACGAAGTTAGAAAATATGGCTATCGGCCGATAGTTAGCGATATCATTTTTATTTCATTGTTTTAACACGGGGCAAATTCTGGATAATTTCCAGAGACTAGGAAACCTTTTAGATTTAAGCATCAAATTAAAAATCACAGATAAGGGCTTACAAAATAATGATGCATTATCTTTTACTAAGAAAGCTGGAATTAAGTCTGGACCATTGGTCATCTTCGGTTTTAATTTTTTTGCGGCGATCTCTATTTCTTTTTCTGTAAATTTTTTTATATATAATACATTTTTATTTGTTAATGAGTTTGAAGTGGAATATGTGGTCGAGGAAACAAATTTTTTTGAGAATAAATCAGCAAAAGCATTGATGACTTCTTACGGTCTGTTCGAGAAAGTCTCGAACATATTCAGTTTATTATGTACAATAAATATATTTTTTTTGTATCATACTGTATATTACTATTCATAGTATAGACCCGCAGTGGAAGAGCACTGGTTTTCCCTAATCTTTTAACATCCCAAAATAAGCCCCAATCAAGGGTAATAAAAATTCTATTTGAACGGATAATAGTCCGTCATAACTTACTAAACTTAGGTAGTTGGTACTAATCCACAACAATTTTAAAGGACGGTTTTTCCCGAGCAATAGGCCTGGTACTTCTGGGGGTTTAAGGAGGGAGACAGAGTTGATAAAAAGGGCATCGCTGACAATAATCAGAGACTTCAACGATATTTCGTGTTTAAATAAAACGTTTGTAAGCGATTAAAAATTACATGGTCCTTCGAGTAAAAATAAGTTTTAAACAAGTTTTAGTAGTTTTTCTTCTTCGACAAGACCTATGGTGTAACGAGACGTGTAGTTCTCCTACATAGTTAATGGTCCTTCGAGCCGGATCACGGTCCATTATAGTACGTACCATCTAAATTCATATCTTGGGGAATTGATGATTCGCCTTTTTTGTATTTTATGAAATATCAAAATTTTTTTTGCTCTTTAACTAACGCTCTGATATTTTTAAAATTGACATAATCAGCTTCAGTACGACTTTTTTGGATAACGGCATTAATATAACCATTGAACCAAGCAGGATAATGACGTTTGGTTACTTTTGGACCATTTCTATGAAACATGTCGTTTAATAAATCATAGAATAAATCAACAGCATTTTTAAAAGTTGTACCGAACAGTAGATGTTGAAGAAGCTGAAGAACAAGAATTTTGTAAACTTATCTTCTAGAACAAGTGGATCGATAGATTTTGAGACACTGCACTTATTGTTAGAAAGTACAAGATCCTAGGATTCTATTATAAAAGTTGACACACTGATTATACTGTGATAGATTAAGATAGTTTAAAAAATTTATTAATGACTGCGTTTTCTACCTTCTAAGGTAGTACAAGTATATTCTGGAATGATGAAAGTCTCCCATTCATAAAAATGCTATGGTTCAAGTACCTAGTTTGGACCTTCTTCAGTACTTTTATTATTTATTTATTGATATTTTTGTTTTTTATGTTTTATTATTATTACTATTATTATTAATATTATTATTATCATTATTATTATAACAAACAAATTAGGACTGATGAATAAATCCTATCAAGCCCAATATTGTAAAGTAAATAGCAAATACTTACAGTAGTTTACTTAAGAAAAAAATTAGCAAATAAAATACAAACAAGAAGATAAACAGTAATTATTATGTGCGAACTGGACACATGACGTATCGAATAGAGAAATACATTACATAAGAACGAAGATGAAGATCTCACTGCTAAATATTATTAAGTTTCTTATAGTTTTCTTTTGCTTAGGAAAATGCCAGTTAGGTTTCCGTTACACAAAGTGTATGCTGAATTTGGCCTACTTGGCTCTGCTGAATTTTCAATTACATGGGCACTTGCGAGTCTCTCAACTGCAGTGCTACCTGCATTTTATTCATTTCTTATCCAGTTTTACTGCAGGATACGGTTTCAAATTTGCTCACATTGAAACTATCATAACCACAATGTCTATTTTTATATTTGTTTTATCCACATTCCTTTCTCTGCTTTGCGGATTTCCAATGAGTTGTTCTTATTCAAAGTTTATAGTGTTTTAATAAGATACTGTTGTCTCACATAGAAAAGCCATACAGCGTCCCCATTCCAGAGAGAGACCCATGGAGCAGAGGGGAAAAAACCCTCTCCCAGGCAGATTATGCGTTGTACACGGACGGCTCTAAAAATGAAAAAGGAGTAGGAGCGGGAGTTTTCGGCCAGAGGCCTAGAGTTGATATATCAATAAACCTAGGCTCTCTGGCCACGATCTTCCAAGCAAAAATGATTGCTATAGAATTGGGAGCGAGAAAGTTGATTAATTCTCTCCCCGCAAACAAGACTATAAAGATCTTTTCAGATAGCCACCCTTAATACCCTGAGCTCCAATCGAGTTGACTCAAAGCTGGTTTGGAATTGTATACATACCCTAGAATGCCTCGGTGCCAGGAGCAAAGTTACTTTGATCTGGGTTCCGGGACACAGTGGTGTGGAGGGCAACCAAAAAGGCGACACACTTGCTAAAAGAGGAACCGAACCTGTGTTCATAGGACAAGAACCATTCCTGCGCATTGTAAAAAGCATTGCCAAAGGAATGATCTCAAAATGGACAGAGGGTGCAACACTCACGAACTGGAGAGATACCCCAGGGCTAACTCATTCGAAGGCGTTTATAACCAACCGTTCTATGAACGCCTCTGCTTAGATCTGATAATGAGAAGGATAGATCTGCAACACACATCGGACTGTCAATTCTGCAGCGTGGAGCACGAGTCTGTAGAGCACATTGTATGTACCTGCTCCGCTCTGGAAAGAACCAGGTTCCAAATCTTCGGATTTACCCGACTGGAGCCTACCGACTTTAAACAAGTCTCACTCAATTCAACCATGACCTTTATCAAAAGGTGTGGCTTGTACGGTGAACTATAAGTTAATCATGAGTCACAATTGACCCATCTGGGTCGCATAACCAATATTACCATAAACAGTAATATACTTAAGTTGTATAATTACATAACGAAAACTCGCGATGAAAACCAATCAAGTGCTGTGCGCTGTGCATGTATCACTTATTTTAGTATACACTTAGGGTACAGACACAACGGGGACCAACGACCCTCTACCATAGCATAGTACCCATTGCTCAGCCCGAGGCTCACCGATGGTCACATCGAGAATCGGAACACCGCATTTTTGTACCAGTTGATCGGGGACGAGCATCCCATGTACCAAGTACCAGGGTACCTATTCTTGAATCTCAGGGTGTAGAAATTTTAAAGGAAGAACGAGACAAAAATACAAATTTAGTGCGTTGCAGATAAAGAGAAAAAAACCGGTTTTCTACTCCTCGAATTCAAGAATAGCTAGCCAGGTATTACCAGGTCTTAGCTCTAACCTATGCGTCGGCGCTCCATTGTTACCACACAGCTCTAATATTGTTCATTTTTCGTTAAGAAATAATGTTTTTTCTTTTAACATAGAACCTCATATAGAGTTTATTGTTCATTTTTGTGATTTTTGTTAAAAATTAAAATAGGTAAATGATTTTTATTGTAGAATTCGATCTAGAAAATTTATATCAAATTGTTCAGTGATCGGTCTAAACTGGTCTGATCATATTACACCAGTCAATATCAAATGTTTCGACGCCTACTGTCGCCTATAATAAAGTTGTGAGAGACCGATCCACTCCTGTTATAATATTTTCTTTAATAATTGTCATCCTCTAAAGTGTCAGTGTCAACCCGTCATGGGGTTAGTCGAAACATTCTTATGTATTTCTTAAAAATTCCTGTTTATAGTGCTATCAGAATGATTCTGTTAGCTCTACCGCTCTTCTTTGCTTCCTTTTGCTTTGCAGTAATCATGCTAATTATCTACCACAACGAATTCAAGCGTCTTAGAGAGAACTTTCTTACAGCCAAGTGTCCGAGGATAACGGAACTGCCTCTAGTGACCCAAAGCGGACAAATCGTCAATACAATAGAAGAATTGGACATGCACATAGAGCTCCTCAAAGGCGAAATGGAAGAAAAAGAGAAGGAACTCGAGGTTTCTAAAAGCAAAATTGCTTCTACTGAAGAAAATCTTAAACGATTAACAGATACGACAAACGAGGTAAAAAAATTCTATTTTAAATTGAAAACTGAAATTTCTAAGAACGAGAACGAGTGTAAGGAACTTCACAGCCAAATTGAAGATTGCTTGGATAGACAAGCTAGATTGAGGGATGAAGTTAACCAGAATGTTAAATTTTATACTAACATGTTGGGGAATATGGATAATGATTCTGTTACAGATGTTGCTAAGGATTATGAAGTGGTAAAATACATTTAAATATTAGTATTAGTTAACAAATCAATAAGAATGTAGGGTTTCCTTGGAAGAACTACTTTTGTTATTCAGAATATGATGTGTTTAAAGATTATTTATTTTTCTTTAATAGGACCATTAATAGTACAAGATCTCGACTCAAATCGATCATCCATCATCATTTATATATTTTATACATATAGTAGGCGATTTTAAATCAGATATTATGTTTTGAATATGATTGACTACACTGATATACATAAAAAACAATGACGTCATATTGAATATTGTCTTAAAAGGGTCATGTTTAACATGACTACAGTAAAAACGTGGTCATCATAGGTATCAAATGTCAAATGAAATGATAAAACTTACTTTTTAATTAAATTATTGTTTAGTTGTTATTTGAAAAATCAAAAGAAAGGCTCTGTATAGGGTTGCTAGGGAAACGTCTGGGGATCAGCTTAAAAAAACAGGTATCTTTATAATATAAGCTTCTTTTACAGAGATTAAAAAAAAAGGTCCTCCGTTTATATTTATTTAAACTATCAGATTCCTTTTGCTAAGGAGCTTCTCAAAAAACGGTCAAAAATTGTCAAATATTGTCAAAAATTTTGTAGTAAATAAGTACCCAATCCAAATTTCATACTCAAACCCCTTTTCTGCCATTGGCGTAGAATTTTTAAAGGTGCAATTATTTAAAAAATCAAGTTCTACGCCTATGTATTATTATCGGACAAAATTTTATACGATGAAAAACATAAAAATGTACTTTTTTCATATCTTCTTCAACATCTCTAATCGAGACTTTTAACAAAAATACTCCATTCTTGCCATGTACGATTTTTTGAGGAATATTAATTATTTGCCTGCAATACGTATACAAAAACATTTATTATTGGTTTCCACAGTTTCATCTAAATAAAAATATTGTCAAGTTTTAACACCTAATCTCTTGAAAGTTTTCTATCTGACTCAATAATTAAAAAAACAAATGCGTGGTTTATTAATATGGCTGTACAATATACCAATGCAGAATATATCGATATGTTACTGACATTAGGATTTTATGAAGGAAATGCTTGAGAGAATGTCAGGGTGTACTCTGAAAGGTTTCCAAATCGTCGTGTACCTAGCCACCCAACTTTTGCTGCTGTTGAGAGACGTCTTTGGGAGACCGGTTCCTTTGCTCCCAACACTGTTGATAATGGAAGAGAACGTTTTGTAAGGATTCCTGAAGTTGAAGAAGACATTTTAGAACGTGTTGAAGAAGATCCAGAATTAAGCACCAGACGAATTGGAAGGGAACTAGGAGTAAGTAAAGATGTCGTTCATAAAGTGCTTAGAGAACAATTGCTATATCCACACCATAAGAAGCCAGTACAAGAATTATTAGTCCATGATCCTCAAATTCGTTTGGGTTTTTGTCGATTTGTTGATATGCAAAGAGAAAGAGATCCAAACTTTGTCAAGAAGGTTCTCTTTACCGATGAAGCGGGTTTTACAAGAAGAGGTATAACTAGTACCTATAATGAACATGTATATGCCGTTGAAAATCCGCATGCAATAAAGGTAAACCACTTTCAGCACGAATTCAAAATTAATGTGTGGGCTGGAATAATTGGTAATTTCATTGTTGGTCCTGTCATACTTCAACGAAGATTAACTGGAGAAAATTATTTGGATTTGCTACAAAATACGTTTCCAGAATTGTTAGAAGATTTACCTCTTCAACTTCGGAGAGATATGTGGTTTATGTAAGATGGAGCTCCACCACATTTTTATTTAAACGTTAGAAACCACTTGAATGAATAATATCCATACAAATGGATAGGCAGAGGTAATGACGCACCTGTAAACTGGCCACCACGTTCCCCAGACCTAACACCGATGGATTACTTTTTATGGGGACATCTGAAATCCACAGTTTACAGGAACCTGTAGAAAATGAGCAACAACTCTGGCAACGTATTCAAGATGCAATAAACAATCTTAGAGGTGATGAAGAAGTTATGGAAACGATACATTTTAATTTTCTTCGACGTATAAATCTTTGTATGCGTGAACATTTTGAACAATTTTTTTAAAATCTCTATTTTGATTATGTTGTAAATAAATATTTTTGTGAAACCTATACACTCTAAATTATTAAAACAGAAATTTAGCGAAAACCATGAGAGTAATCGAGTCTTATCAAGAGTACCTTTTTTAAAGTAAATGAGTTGCGCAATCTAAATTTCATACTCAAACTTCTTTTCTTCCATTGGCGTAGAATTTTTAAAGGTGCAATTATTTAAAAAATCAAGTTCTAGGCCTATGTATTATTATCGGACAAAATTTTTATACCATTTTTTTTGCCACACAAAACTCTACCAATATACCAAATTTCAGCAAAATCGCATATGCCGTTTTAAATTTATATGGGAAAAACGATTTAAAAATTGTAACTTCAAGGCCCTTTGGAGCCCGAACGAAGCAACTTTGTAATAAGATAATTTTACTTAAATCGACTTATTTTGGTCTAAGGAATATGTGGTATGTTTTTGTAAAGACTTTTTACAGACACCCTGTATAACTTTGAATTTAAAAAGCGTAGCATTTAAGGCTAAACGGTATTGCAATTAAAAAAAAATTGTAAATTGATTGAGCCATACTTAAAACACTGTATAAAATGAACTAGTTCTACATCACAATTTGGTTCTTATAAGTCTTTATTTTAAACAATCTTAAAATCATTTGCCTACATTATTTAATATTATTTTATTTATCATCATTCTCTAATTTCACTGAAAAATGTATTTCTTCGCAACCATGTAATATATTTTTTTTAACATTCTAGTATTAAATATAGTATTACCATGCTACCTGTAAAACTGAAATAAAATACCATTTAAAAACACATTTTTACTTTCCAGGCAAAAGCATAACACCTTGTATATACAAACATATTTTTCAAATCCATATAACTTTTATTCAAAACGTCTGCGTGTCCATAACACAAATTAAAATATCAAGCAATTACGCACTAATGGGACACACTGTATAAAACTACGACGAAAACTGGACGTCTTTTTTCATCCTTTCAGACATCCTTCTGAACCACTCTTGATTGTTTATTGTAATTGCATTAACGAAACATTTATAATAATAATTATTGGCTTTACGTTTTTGTTTGTCGTCAAAATCTTCGCTTCCAATACTGGAATTACTTATAAATAATAACCATTAAATGCCTTGTTTTTTTTTTCAGATAGTTCCTACATCATTAAAGAAAAAACCAAGCTACCATACCCGACAATAGAAACCAGATCAAAATTATTATTTGTTCGAAATAAGTCGATTTATCAATGCCGGTACAATTATTAATTTTTATAACAAGAATTTCTTTCGACTCCGATCCTAATCAATCATTATGTCATGAAAGGCTGTATTGATTTTTCTTTGATATGCATCGCACGCTTATACATGTGTATCATAATTTAGACAACTTCATTTCTTATCTGGCAACGAACCGGCGTGATGTAATAAATTATGTTGTTGGATTGGTTCACAAAGTAAATTATAAAAAAAAAATGTTGATGTTCTTTTCCTTTTTTAAAGGTATCAGATAGTTAGGCGCAGGAATTCATGGGAATTTTTGAAGATTTGTTTCCACTACAATTACACAAGTGAAAATTAGGGAATAAAATTGAAAATAACATTAATTTTCTTACCTAGATAATGTTGATTGCTTATCTTCTGGTTTAATAGCATGCCCATTCATGTATGCCCTTGCACTACCATTGGCGGCTGTAAACAAAAGAAATATTTGTTAAAAACTATTCTATAAATCGGTCTAGTCATGCATGCACCCCTCTTTTTCTTTGAACTGTTATATTCTTGTAAGGACTTATTACCTGATTGATTTATTGAACAATATTAAGTAAAGTACCTATAATATTCGGCTGAAGGCAAATCAACGAATAGTATCAACTATAGAACATAACATGGCTTTACGATTCTCTAAGGTCGCGGGACGACGGTATGTGGGCAGAAAGAAAACTTCTTTCTAATTATAAACGAATGTACGCGAAGCTCCGAGGCACTTTTCTGTTACTAACTGTTGTTCCTTTGAATGAATTGTTGAAAAACACTACCTCTGTCATTGATAAACATCTTGACTGATGATTTTTGCTCTTCGCGGGCATCTTTAAAGCCTTTTATACACTGCGACTAAAGAAGAATCCTGACTAAATGAAATTACGCTTTTGAGAAGTGAAGAAAGGCGCCTCGAGAAAAAAATTATCATTCTTGAAAATTGGTTTTTAAATATTATGTAACGAGTTGAGAGATGATCTTAAAATTAGATTTATAGGTGCTTAAAGTCTGGTAAAGACAAAAAGCTAATTTTAAACAGTTCCAAAAATAAGCAAATTGCTTCTAACTGAATATAAATATGCTGCATTTGTTATACAAGGTGTTTAATCTATCATGTGCAAACATATTTTAAATGGGAAGAAAGTTGACTATTGTGGGGAACACTGCAGTGGTCGAAAGAGTTATACATTGAAAACTAAAAATGCCCATTTAGGTTTCTTGCGGGAAAAATATATATCAATAAATAGAAAAGGGAAAATATATTTTTTAATACGATCTCCTTTTCCTGCATTTTTTTTTCTTCTAAAACCAATGTAATACGACCTTTAATATTTCGAAAATTTTAAAATGTATCTGTAATTTTATAATGTTCAAAAACATAATACAACTGAACAAACGTAATTAGAAATTGTTGACACTGATGTTTTAATTTTACTGACATTAACTAATATTAAGAATTTGTGTCTAAGATATTTGTGACTAGCAAATTCAGATAATAAAAAAGGAGGAAGTTTAAAACATCGTATAATCAAGGGAAATAATAAATAATTTTATTTCCACGAAAAACAAACTGCAGAACGATTTTATCTTAAATCGGTTTGTCTGAGTGGTTTTGTCTGAATAGATACAATTAAAAATGACGAGGATTATTTGAAAAGATTATTTTTTGAAAAAGACAACAAACTTATTTGAAGTAGGTAATAAGCTAAAACTGTTTATTAAACATTCCATAAATATCTGTTTATTTATTTATTTAATTGTACTAAAAAATTAAACTTTTTCATTACACTATAAATTTAAGGAACATCCTGTTTATTTATGGTTTTTACACCTCATTTTTAAATTTTTGTTTCCGTATTGTTGTGATGTAGGTTTTTTTTTTTAATTTTAAATAATATTACAGTTTTAATTTATTATGATTTGTAAAGCTTTTGCCCTGTGTTTTATGCCTTCTCCAGTACAATTTTTTTTAGTGGATCAATATTAATTATTATTTTATATTCTAATACATTTGTTTCTTTAAACTTATTACTTCATTGTTTAAACAGGTACTATTATTTAATTATGAGTTGCATCTTATCTCATTGTATGGAAAAGGCATACATCCAAAATACAGATATTTTTTTATTAGTTCAACTGGGAATAGAGGACAGGTTCAATTTGTATTGAAAATTTGTTCGCACATGCATGAGTACATAAGTTGGATTATTTATTTATTATTATTTTTTATATTTCGTTTGCGAACCCTTATCAACGAAGTGGGAGTAAGTGCTATTTATAAAGCAGAAAGACAAAGGATACTTTCAGGTGCGTGTGGTGCTTGTAACTATAAGCATCCCCCGAAAAACTTGTGCCAAGGAAGGAACCATTTCGCCAAAATAGGAAACCAGTAGAAGAACCAGCTTCAACGAGTAAAAATGATTCCAGTTTTCGAAAACAATACAATCAAGTATTAAAATACCTGGTGGTCTAAATTGAGGCTTCATTTCTGTGTTTGTACATCTCAATTTAGCTCCGGCTGTTATTCAACTATCAAATAACACCTTATTTGTAGTTCTGTTAGTAGATGTTTTAATAAATACACAAAACTATGAATTAATTTTATTTCAACTAACTTTTACTTAACCTTACTTAAACAAGAGAATAAAGTTCTTCCAACTTCAGTCATGCACCTACAATCCAATAATGACACAATGGTACTATTAAGAGCACTCCTAGATCTAGGTTCTCAAGCTTTCCTCATGACTGAACAACCTGCTGAAATATTAGCCCTATCAAGAGAAAAAGTTAAAGTAGAAATAGTTGGTACAGCCGTTAGACAACCAATATACTAAAATGAGGAATTCAAGCACAGCTCCAACCAAGATTCTTCAGTGACTCTTCCTTGAACGTTCAACTAATGGATATGTCAAAGTTGACAAAAGCTATCCAAAAAAGATAATTATTATACGTTGATACGACACCCTTGCAAAACAAGTAGTTATTTAATAAAACAGGTCCAATCGATTCATTACTTGAAGCAGAAGAATATAGCTAAGTTGTAGGAATCTAACGCGCATACTGGAGCTACGTAATTCGTCACATGACTACATTCATTTACGTTTTTGCAATATTTTGATATACCGCTCCATGACAAAACAGCGCAAGACAAAAAGGCGCAGGACAAAATAGCGCAGAACAAAATGGCGCAAGAACAAAATAGGGCCAAACTAAATAGCGCAGAACAACATGGCACAAGGACAAAATAACGCAAGGCAAAATAGCGCAGGGCGAAATGGCGCAAGGACAAAATAGCGCCAAACTAAATAGCGCAGAACAACATGGCACAAGGACAAAATAGCGCAAGGCAAAATAGCGCAGGACAAAATAGCGCGTAACGAAAAAGATATGTTTTTTAATCAATGAAATTCATTGAAATAATGCGTAACAAATACTGTTCCAACGACGCGTAAGTAGAGAATGTTTGAAGTGTAGTTCCATTTCTCTCACATTTTTTTATCTGAACTATTTTAGCACAAAACAATTTCACGTGGGACAAATTTGCAGCGACAAATACATGAAAGTCAAGTTAGAGCCTGATATAAATAAAGTGATACCAATTAATGCCTAGTCCAGTGGTCGGCAGATCGCGGCTCACGAGCCGCATGCGGCTCTTTGGCCCTTTGGGTGTGGCTCTTCCACAAACTATAACGTGCGGGCTCGCAAATACAGTGAAATTGAAACTTTGTGATGACTGCTTTTCTTATTTCTATTTTTTGATACTTGGTTTGGTTATTATGTGTCTTTATCTTTACGAATAAGTACTTTAAAGCGACTTATTGAAAAAATATTTCCAGAAAGATAAAATATCAGCGTATATCGTACAATATATTACTTCTGAGCGCGTATCCCCGCAGAAAATACTAGAATTGTGGAGTGAAAGAAGATGTAGTTTCAAATATTAAGAATATACAGGTTTGGAAAAATATATAGGAGCCATAGAGCCTCTATTAATTGAAGGCCATTATACGTAAAATTTCGAAGAGCATCGTAAGCAAATCGGTGAAGATGTACAATAAACATCGAAAAAACATTGATGGTAAACTTACCGGTCAAAAATATTGAAATTGAATTCAAAATCAAGTTAATATTTTTCACTTGCATATAATTCCTAATTCTGGATCAGGGAATTACATAAATATTGTATTTATTTAATTAGTGAGCAAAACTTTAGTTTTTAAGATTGCAACCTTAGTTAAGTTAGGTTAGAATAAAATTACTCATTGACCAACCTTTGATCAGATTGTAATATTAACAAATTCCCCTTATACAGTGGAACGATGTTCACTGGTTGTGTTATAGCCTATGGCTCTTATAATTTTTTTCTAATCTCTATGTAGAGAATGAGCGATAGGAGTTAGACGAAACAAGTTTATAAGACGAGTGTAGATGAGAAAGTTAGAAGAGGTCGACTTTAACAAATGTACCTCAATCAGATTGAGGACGTTTTCAGTAAAGGTTAACTTAGGAGTCAACAAGAATGCACCTACCTATATAGTTTAAGTTTAAAAAATTTGGCTTTTAAAAAAATTCAGTCGTTTTACTGTTACTATTTGGCTCTCTTGACGAAAGAGTTTGCCGACCACCGGCCAGTCTAATTATAGTGAGTTAAGTTAGCCTTTTTTCAAAATATGCCAGTATTCTAATTAAAATTAAAAAAAAAAACAATCTATATCACCTAACGTGTGCAGCCTGGAGCCATTACGGGTTACTGTATATGGCTCCAGGCCACACAGGTTAGGTAAATTAGTTTAAGTTTTTTTAATTTTAATCAAAATATTGAAATATTTTGACACGCGTTTTTATGTCCTGCGCTATATTGATCTGCGCTAAAAAAATTTTAACTTTTCTATGATTGAAATAATTTATTTTTTTTTTTTTCGAAATCCTCACACTTTCTTTATCGCGTTCTGATCCAGTATATTGGAAGTTCATATACAGGGTGTCCCGAAATTAGACGGTCATATTTTAACAGCATAACCTACATCCTAAAATAGGAGTAAAAGTTCATGTAAACATAAGTCCAAAAATGTTTCTTTTCCAAAATACAGGGTGTTTAAAGTGAAGTCCTGATGAGAAACACTTTTGTAAATATTTTCTAAACGTTTAAAGATAACTAAGTGACATTTGATATAAATGCTTATCTTTTTACGCTTTATTTAATGGACTAAACCCCCAGTTTTGATCATCTTCATAGGTGGGTAAATTAGGGGGGCTTAGGGTAAAAGTTTTTTGTTGACAGTTTTTAACATTTTTGACTATAAAATTTGGAAAAACCAATGTTTTCTTTATAATAAAGCAACTTTTATTGTTGATAGTTTTGTAACAAATAAATTCATGTAAAATATATTTATATTCTTGTACATCCTCAAGAAATCATCATCCAGTCTCGG